GGCTTTAATTAACATGGGCCTAAAACTTGCAAATATAAGTTATAAGGCAATTAAAGAAACATAGGTTACAAAGTTAGTCTGATCCTTTCAGTGTCGCGCGTGGAATCGTGTGCAGCCGTGAACGGGAAATGTACACCCAGCCATCGCTTTCCACCTAATGAACTTGCCTCTGTTCAGGGTTGTGAAATACCTAGTGAAAGACAAAATCCCTGCGGCATCCCACCTTCCAGAGATTGTTTCTGGGAGCCTCTGTTCCCTTTGCCACGCCCCAATTCCTCTCCCTCTCCTTATCAGTCTGGAGGGCAGCACAGAGCGGGTCAGATCTGGTAATCCACAGTTTGGATCTGACTGCTTCCCCTGTGAAGGCAGAATGAAGGAGCCGAAGCCAAAGCAGCCACTGTGTGCCCTTCCTTAGCTCATGACACACAGCCACCGTGCTGAAGGGACACCCGCAATAGTGAATGGCAGTGCATTTGTGTTAGCTCACTGACTCCCACATGCCTGAGTTAGTGTCCGAGCCACATTTACCTCTTCATTTTATCTAGTCATTTTAGTTAGAAAATTCACAGAATAGGGGCCAGCGTGATAACAAAGCAGGTAATGGCACTCGGTAAAGGATTAGCAAATCCTGACAATCTGAGTTTGATTCCTGGACCCACATACTGGAAAGAGAACTGAATCCTGACAGTTGTCCTTTGACCTCTCAATGCATTCCATCACACACACACACACATGCACACACACACACACAGAGAGAGACACACATGCATACATGCTCACACACATGAACACTCACAAGCACACATAGACATGCACATATAAATAAAGAAGTCTTAAAAAGAAAACCCACAGGAAAGGCTGTGAAGAGAGCCTTCTCGGCTGGAATGACATCAGCGAGGCAAGCAGCTAGGTACGGAACATTAGTGAAAACACCATGGTACAGTCAGTGAGGGATGTTTAGAAATGAGAACAATGTGCGCCTCAGCAAAAACGTGATGCGTTTTATTGTTGTTTCTCCTCAGTTCAGCAATGTGGAATCCACAGCCAGCAAGCTTGTTACCCGCTGGCCTTCGGGGTCCCGGCGGCTCTCATGGCTGTTGCCCTAAGTGAGTAGAAATCAGCTGAGCTCACACAGGCTCTGTACGAATTATCGTGGCTGAGCTGTTAAAGCCCGTGTACCAAGTTGTAACAGAAAGTACTGTTACGGCCTGCCACTGGGCGCTTGGGGAGGAGAAAGTGGGGTGGCCACATTTCGTGAGAGAGGTGGAACCCTCAGAGGGCTTTCAAGGAGAGGCACCAGGGACACGGACATCTGAGCCCATCCGAGCAGATGAGCACAGGTGACAGCTAGTGCGCTCAGTCCAGGATTGAATGCTTCCATTCTCCTTGGCACGTGTCAGCTGTAGCCTGAGTGAAGAAACGTCAGTCTGGTTCCCTGGCCGTTGACTACTCCTGCTGCAGTCTAAGCGCCCATTACCCATCATCCCAAGGGTTTCTACAAAACCCCCTTTCCTGCTAGAAGGAGCATGTGTGCATAATAGTTATAATTATTTGCACATGTGCCTTTATAGCAATGGTTGCATTTCTTCTTAGATTACTTGCAGAATGACTAGTTCTATTATGACATTTTTATACATAGTTATCATTGTATCTTTTTCACGTTCACTTCCCCACTATCTACCCCAGCCCTTCCTCATCCTTAAGCTGCTCCCCTTCCTCCACAGGAATAGCCCCCTCTGTTTTCAGGAGAAGATAGACAGATAGATAGATAGATAGATAGATAGATAGATAGATAGATAGATAGATAGATGATAGATAAATAGAGATAAATGATTGATAGATGATAAATGATAAATAGATAAATGATAGATGTTACATAGATTGATAGATGTTAGATAGATATAAAATAGACAATAAATGATGATTAATAGATAAATGAGAGATGTTAGATAATAGACAGATAGATGATAGATGGCAGATAGAAAATAGAAGATGGACAGATGAAAGCATCTAGATTCTGTACATGTGTATTAATTTTGAGCATTTTTTGAAAGAAATACAAAGAGGCAGCCGGGGGTGTTCTGAGCGGAAAGTTGGTATGAGAAAGACCCTGCCGACGGCCCCTCAGCTCTCCACAGCTCCTTCACACCTTCTCCAGGTTTTGTTTTTAGATCTTACCGTAGCAAATAGGACCATCTTTCCCCTCTTATCCTCATACTGAAACAATTTTGCTTTGTTTTTACTATTATGCAAGTGCTATCCCATAATTCTTCAAAGACAGTCACACCCTCTTAAGGGCTTGTGATGCTTCTCCTCTCAGTTCTGGGTAGAAAGTGGCTCTTCAGGCAAATTTTCATTTAGTCTAAGCAAGTCATTCTTAAGAAAAAGATTCTACGTCTTCTTACAAAAGAAGAATTAAGACCGTAGGCATATGCAGCTCTTCTAGAAATTTCTGTGTTTGAATTAGGCTTTGGTGTGTCAAAAAGCTTAAAGGTTAAAGCAGTAGCTGGCAAAGGGAAAGGCTGACTCAGCCTGCTGGGCACCGGCACCGCCTGCATTTGTACCCTGGGCATGGACACAAGTCAGTCAGCCACGAAGGACGTTACAGCACAGATGAGAACTTGGCAAGACCCCTGAGAGCAGGCGCTGTCAACACCTTGGCCTTCTCAACAGTACTGAGCTGCCGATGCTTACATCATCAAATTGTGGGTTTGGGTGATGGAAACCTGGCGTAGGGTCTCCCACAGAAAATGTCTGCAGGCCGCTTTCACGACATGCCCACTGGAAAGAAGCTCCACAGAAGAATAGTAGCCTCGTGGGAAAGGCGCTCTCATTTTATCAAAGCGTCTGCAGAGGCCCTTAGTCATAGCCTGCCTCTGCACTGGCTGTGGGGCTCTGCCTCTTCTGGTTGGGTAAACCTTCCAGTTGATTAATCTCTTTCTTCTGAATATTAAGAATAGGAAGAGCACAGTTGTGCACACCTGTGATCCCAGCACTCAGGGAGACAGAGGCAGACAGATCTCTGTGAGTTTGAGGCCAGCCTGGTCTACAGGGCAAGTCCAGACAGGCAGGGCTACACAGCAAAACCCTGTCTCAAAAAACAAAAACGAAAGAACAGGAAGAAAATATCTCTTGCTAATATAGCCAAAAATATTAGCTCTGTATTTCTTGTCTTTGAAGAATAATGTGATCCTATGGCATGCAAAAGCACTGTGCTCTTGGTCTCCCTTTAAATTGCTAGGACTTGAGTTTAAATAGCTGTGTCCAGGCCTAGGCGCCTCCCCAGAGGCGCTGTGGGCACTAGAATAAGCAGGTCGTCCCCTGGGAGGAGGGGAGCAAAAGCCTGCTTCCTGTCAAGGAGACCACGCTGATAAACGAGCGTGTCTCCGAGCACAGGGAGCACTGGCAGACACCGCTTCTTCTGCCCTGTGCAGTTGTGTTTCTCCTGGGCAGTAGACTGTACACGAAGTTCCAGCCCCAGGGCAACGTCATGGGCAAAGTGGCCAAGTGCATTGGTGTAAGTACCCTACCCTACCCTCCCCCTACCTTCCTTTCTCCCCTCCCCTTCCCTCCCCCTTCTCACTGAATCACTTCAGAACTTTCCTCTACCTTCTACCATCTTTAAATCAAAATTCAATTTTAAAAAGAAGAAAAATTCAAATAAGTTTTGATTTCCCTTAAGATTATGTTCTAGGGTACTTGGATGTCTGTCTTCATAAAGCTTATCAAACAGTGCCGGGCGGCACACTCCTCTCCCAGCAGCACGGCCATAAAGGAGGCCGAGGCGGCAGATCTGAGCTCGAGGCCAGCCTGCTCTACAGAGCAAGCTGCAGGACAGCAGGGCTACACAGAGAAACCCTGTCTTGGGGGATGGATTTTTACATATTTTGTTTTTGCTTGTTAATTGGCTGGTAGAGAACAAATTTAATGTGTTGTTATGTTTCTATGGCGCATGCTTTTCTAGACGGGCTGGAGGGTACTGACAAGGGGACCTAACTCAGGCATCTGAGTGACACTCTGCACCAACGGACCCTGCCGTTAAAAATGCGCCTTTTCTCCCGTGTTTGTCCATGAAAAGGAAATCATTGAAATGTGTTTTTCTGGGGTAGTTGGTTCTCTTTTAAAATGTAATTACTTTTCCTTCCTTCAGTTTGCCATCAAAAACAGGTTTCGGCATCGCAGTAAGGCATTTCCCAAGAGGGAGCACTGGCTAGACTGGGCCAGAGAGAAGTACGACGTAAGTCACCCTTCCTGCCGCAGCGGCCCTGGCCACTCCAGGAAGTGGGCACGAGAAGGAAGCACAGTGCAGAGCGGTCGCTACATGGCAGCCCTCACCGTGTCCTCACACCCCCTCACCGTGTCCTCACACCTCACAGCACGTGAACTGCGACCCTGCACACCCGTCTTGAACAGGCTTCAGAACAGTGGTTGCCCTTTGTGGGGAGCACAGTGGCCCTCTCCTGCCCTTCCCTTGGGTGTCCTCCATTAACTGTAGGCCGTGACCACATGGCTTGGGTTTGAGCAGAGAAGAGCAGGGGTGGCGGTAACCCTGACACAGGCTTTTGCGAGCTCCGGGCCGGCCTCCTAACCAGCTGTTCCCCTGTGGCACGCCTGCCTGCACTGTCCGGTCTCCTAACGCACCCATGCTCGTGTTCTCCAGACTGAACGCGCACCTTGCAGCTTGTCGCTAGATGCAAACATGCCCAGCTGGCCGTGAGCAGCAACGGCTGCTGACTCCGGCCCGGCTGCTCTGTCCTCTGCAGGAGCGGCTCATCGCACAGATTAAGATGCTCACGAAGGTGCTCTTCCTGTACATTCCCCTCCCCATGTTCTGGGCGCTGTTCGATCAGCAGGTAAGGTCTCTTGTTCTGATCAGTCGTAAGAGCTGCTACTCACCAAGCTGCCCTGGTGTCCGCTCCTGAAAGCGTTCCCTTGCAGTCTCTGTTCTGATTTTGCTGATTTAGCTGTTGCATCCTACTGAGTGTTTGGTTAAAATATCCTGAGAGGCTCCACCACGTGTCTGCTGTGAATCGGTGCAGACAGTGAGCTTTGTTTCTGGGGAGATTTCCTCCGAGCATCTGGGACCCTGTCGGTCAGAGCTGAGGGCACACGCGGTTTGTTCTAGCCAGCGTGTGGGAGGTATGGCCTGCGAGGAGATCTGTGGAATTTCTAACTAACAGGGGTTTGATTTGAGTCTCCCCCCTTCAAATGGAATGCTTGAAGCGAAAGAGCCACAGGCTTGTGGGTGACTGTGCCCACATCCTCCCGCCCGAAGCAGGCCTGGCCGGACCAGACTTCCGGCTTCGTTCTTTCTTTCTGAAACCTTCCCACACTTGGACAATGGGCTTGATCACGTACACACACCATCACCTCCTCCAGCAGCCCCCACTCCATGGCAGCCTCCAAACCTGTCCCTCACATTCTCCTTTATTGTTGTGGCTGCAACTGCCACAAATACGATGCTGTCTGTAGGGACTAAACACACTGGAGTTAGACACTCACGTCACACAAGCCAGGCCACCATACTCAGCGGTCACAACAGAAGATACCGTTCCTTCTAGACACCGTGAACGGTGTGTCACTGTTCAGGTCGGGTTAGTGGGTGCTAGGCCATCCCTGGGAAACCACGGAGCACACATCTCCTCGTCTGCCCTGTGAAGTATAGAGCAGCCTAGTCAGGGTAAGGAGATGGCTGTGAGTGTCGGATAAGAGCCTAACGGGGGTCGGACTCCCACCCGACCTGTGGGCACCTCTGGTACCCAACCCGGTGGCGTAGGCTGAGAACTTGGAACCGTTCCAGACACGTTTGCTCTGATTACCACCTCTGCTGTGAGGCCCGAATTAGACATGACATACAGAGTCCTCAGTGGCTGGAGCGTACTAAGACCTCAGACAGGGCGGGTCTACCCTTTCCATGTGGAGCTGATGGATTTGGATCCATTAGGCATTTAGTCTTCCATAGAAATCATCACTTCCTATAAGAAACAGATGAGCTGCAACTAGGCTGCCCGCTAAGGCCACTACTGTCCTTCCGGAGGAGTGTTTAACCCCCTCCCTGGCTTTCAAAAGATGGTTCTAGACACTGACGTCAGCACACATGCGTTCCCACAGCCCCCTGAGGGCAGCCCCGACCCAGAGGTCCTCCATGCTTCCCAGGAAAGGCTTAATTTGTTGGTGTACTGCTGGTGTCTGTCTTCCTAGTATTGCCGAGAGCGCAATGAGATGTTTATGGCAGCTTCAAATCCCATAACATTTCAGTCCTGGTTTAGAAGGTTCAGTGGTGGATTAGCACATTCTAGAAAGCCACATCCCCATGACACCATAACATGTCCATTTCCCAGGGTTCCAGGTGGACGCTGCAAGCAACAACCATGTCTGGGAAAATTGTAAGTTTGCCTGTCCTGGCAGTTCTTTTCTGGGTAGCACTTGTTTGCTTTAGTCCCTTGGTCCCCTTTCTCCTAGCTTTTCATGGCATTTTTAAGTGAGATTTTTGCCTCCTCTTTTTTAGGGAGCAATTGAAATCCAGCCAGACCAGATGCAGGTAGGAAAAAACACTCAGGCCACTTTCTGAGACCCAGGGGCTCCTTGAGAAAGTGCTAACAGCCCATCTCCCCTTCCTCTGCAGACTGTGAACGCCATCTTGATTGTCATCATGGTCCCCATCATGGATGCCGTGGTGTACCCTCTCATTGCAAAATGTGGTTTAAATTTCACGTAGGTAGCTCCTGGACTTGGGTTGCCTGAGATACTGTTGGTCCAGGGCTTCCAGAAGCTTCAGCCTGAGTATGGGGAGCAAACCTAGGAGATTTTGCACACACCAGACAGATGTTTTTCTGCTGACATAGAACCCCAACCTCTTTTTCCTTTTTATTTTGAGACAAGATGACCTTAAACTCACTCTGCAGCACAATTAGGCTTTGAACTTGCAAGCCACCCAAGGAGATAGGATCATGGCCAGGCTACTGGGCCTGACAGATGATGACGTTTTTAAAGAAATCAAGTTAAGAGCTATCGGGGGATAGGGTAAGAGTGCTTACTGTGCATACATTAAGACCTGACCTCCGATCCCTGGGCCCCGTAGAGAGCCTGGCATGGCAGTGTGCACACGTTACTTCAGAGCTGGACACACAGACAGGCAGGTCCCCAAGCTGGCCAGCTGAGCCAAGCATGATGAACTACAGATTCAGTGAGAGATCCTGCCTCGGGAAAATAAGCTGGACAGGGACAGAAGACCCCTGACAACCCATGATCTCCTCATGTGCACACATGTGCCTATACATGTCTATACACACTTGCATGCAACACACGCACACACCTTTAAAAAGAGAGGTTAGTGTGCACTGTTTCTGAAAATGCCCTTTAAAAGAAATGAAAACGCTAGTATCGGAGGGCTGAGAATAATAATTGCGATCACAGGATTCCTAGAGATTAAGTGTCAAAATACAAATGAGGATTCCATGTGCCCTCACTAGCCTGCTACAGGTAACAATAGACAGGGACTGAGGGATGGTTCAGCTGGTAAGAACTCTTGCTTCTCAGTCACACGGGCCAGAGTTTGGATCCCAGAACCCGCATGGAACAAATGACCAGTGTGTAGCTCTAGGGTGCCTTCTTCTGGCCTCTGAGCCCTCCCACGCGTGTGGACAGGCTCACACTGACGTGCTCACACATCGAGAAGATCCTGAAACAATCAGCGCCTGAAGCAGCTGCTGGTGCAGCTGCCCTTGCAGAGAAGCAGGCAGGACGGGAGGCGCCTCTCTTAGCCAGGGGAGGTGGGCTGGCTTCACGTCCCTCTTGTCCTCACCAGCTCCCTGAGGAAGATGACAGTTGGCATGTTCCTGGCTTCCATGGCCTTTGTGGTGGCTGCAGTTGTGCAGGTGGAAATTGATGTGAGTCTTCTGGGCTCAGCATCTTCCTTCTCTGGGCTGGGGGACACAGGGGACCAGGGGCCTCTCCCCACCCACAGCAGGAGTAGAGGAAGTGGGGGGCGGGGGAGGGTGGTCCGATGGTTGGCACTGTGCGTTGTTGATGTGGGCAGGTTTAGCTACGAGGAAGGGGGGTGTGGGCAGGTCGCCTATAACAGTTTCCACAGCGGAAGATAAGGCCGTGGAATTGTTCTGAAACCTTGAATTGGGGAGAAGAAGCTTGTCGCTCATAAACACACTTCAGAAATGTGTAAACTGCCCTGGAAACACACGCTTTGGATTATGATATACCTACACTGAACCTAACACCTGCTGAGTGCGTGTGTGCTAAACCAGCCCAGTGCTGCCAGCTGGAGAGACTTTAATTCTGCAGGCAGGGACCATGTGGCCCACCAAACCAGAGGAGAGAATCCCTCTCTCCCTCTCTCCCTCTCTCTCTCTCTCTCTCTCTCTCTCTCTCTCACACACACACACACACACACACATGCTTCATGGCAGTCAACATATAAGTGAAATTTCCCACCTTCACCATTTCTAAGCACGCAGCTCAGCACAGTTCCTTTTCCTGGGAAACTTCCCCACGCATACTTCCAAAACTCTCCATCTTCCCAAACGTCTGTGCCACTCGGTGCTAATTCCCCGATTCATTTCTCCAAGCCCCTGGCAGTGACCATTCTGCTGTCTCTAGGATTCTGCTCCTGGCATATTACGTGGCTACAATCACAGAGCGTTTTTCCTTTATGGCTGGCTTCTTCTCCGATGCCCTGGAGGCTCACCCGTTTTAGATATGAAAAGCTTCCGTCTGTTTCTAAAGTTCTATTGCCGTGCCAAATGTGAGCAGCAGGCTTGGCCAGGGTTTGGCGTGTGTCCCCAGTGCAGCTGTAGATCAGAGGAAAGTGACTCCGTGCTGAGGTGACAGTGACCATGCTCTGAGTCCTCTCTGTTGACTTTCTTGTCTTTTCCTCAGAAAACTCTTCCAGTCTTCCCTGGCGGAAATCAAGTCCAGATTAAGGTCTTGAACATAGGCAACAATAACATGATGGTGTCCTTTCCTGGCGAGACCGTGACACTTGGCCAAATGTCTCAAGTGAGTAAGAGGAAGCGGACTATAACACAGTTCAGAGGAGTGGCTCTGGCTGGCCTCTGTGTACCTCCAGAAGTCAGCCCAAGGTTAGCACATGCCAGTGTCCGCCTCCCAGACCAGCAGGCCCCTGGCTTGAATGTGGGTGCTGAGCACACTGCACCCTGCAGAATTCAGACTTGACCTGTAGACCAGAAACCCTACATTTCTGTAACTTCCCGCGCTCTGCTGCCGCTGCAGGAAGCCCCACATCCAACAGCAGAAAAGGCCCATGGTTCCAAACAGGGGTGCTGGTGTCCCTGAGGAGAGGTTGAGCAGTGTCCACAGACAATTCTTTGTTGCTGCAAACTGAGTGTGTGCTGCTGGCACTTCATATGTGGAAGCCAGAGGTGCCAGCTTCAGCCTCCAGGCGAAGACTTCTCTGTCCATGATATACACAGTGCTGCTTGGGAAACCCTGCTCTTGGGGTCATTGTTCTTAACTGCTGGTTCCCAGCGTTGAGTCTGCTCATGTGGGGAGCACTGAGGGCTGAATCCCAGTGATGTAAGTTTGGATGTTCTCATTCCTGACGCCAGATGCTTGCTCAGCAGCTCCTTTTGGGGGTGGAAAGGAGGCTGAGGCTGTAATTTCCCTAAGGACTGCATGACATTCCTCAGGTAGAGGGCGTGGGGATCCTGGAGTCCTCCATTTCAAGAGAAGCTCAGGGCTTTCTGGTCATGATGGACTGTAACGTTAGCATCAGGGTTTCCCAACACCATTGCTTTTTCTTTGGTGCTTTTTTTTTTTTAACGTGTGTGGGTGTTTTTCTGGCGTACATGCCTGTTCACTCTGTGTGTGTGTGGTGCCCTCAGAGGAGAAGAGGGTGTTCAGTTCCTTGAAAATGGAAGTCTAGGTGGTGTGGTTCACCATGTGAACTATTCAGATTGAACCTGGGTCCTCTGGAAGAGAAGCTACTCACCTTTTGAGCCCCGGCTTCATCCCCTGGAACTGTTCCCTACGTAGTTCTATAAATGACGTTCCCAACGTGAGCTTCCTGAGAGCAAAACAAAAGCACAGAGTTTGGTGGGCAGTCTAACACCATGGCAATACAGAGAGAACTGTGCGGCAGAGCCTGGGAGGGTAGGGGCCGCGTGCGATGTCGCGGGAGGTGTGCGAGCATGAGCAGGGCCGCAGGGGGCGCCGTGTGACACGCCCTTACAGTGTGCAGATGCACAGTGCTGACTCGGCCTCCTGCCTCCTTTCCCCCCAGACAGACAAGTTCATGACTTTTGATGCAGACAAGCTGACGAGCATCAATGTGACTTCCTCTGGCTCCCCCGTCACTGAAGTGCTTCACAGGTTTGAGCAGGGCCATCGGCACACCCTCCTGGTGTGGGCCCCCAACAACTACCGCGTGGTAAGTCGAGATGCTCTTTAGCTGTGCGCAGCATTGGCGACAGCTTTGAAAGGCTGTTTTTGTTTTTCTTTTTCTTTTATGTGCATGGTGTTTTACCTGCGTGTGTGTGTCCCACATGGGGACCTGGGGTCTGAGAAGCTTAGGGAGGGCATCCTGGAACTGGAGTTATAAATGTTTGTGACACACCATGAGGTGCTGAGAATCGTGCCCAGGTCCTCTGCAGGAGCGGCAGGTCTTAACCACTGAGCCATCCTGCCAGCCTCACAACCCAGCTTTTTGTTGATGTGACTTTGCTAGAGCACCAGAGTCAGTAGTTTCCAAATTCTTCTCTCTTCAGGAGCACAAGTCACCTGGCTTCTAGTAGGGGTTTGGCTGGTTTCCAAGAAGATTACTATTAATTAGGACTTAAAAAGAAAACTTGGAGCCAGATGTGGTGGCCCACACCTGTCCACAGGTGTAGACACTGGCCGGGCTATGCAGTCAGACCCTGGTGTGGCTGGGCATAGTGTCACAAACCACTCAGGGAGAAGATATGGGAGGGTCTCTGTGAGTTCCAGGCCAGCCAAGGCTACACAGTGGGACCCTGTATCAAAAAAGCAAAAATAGTAAAAATAAGGTAAATAAGTAGAAATACAGCTGTTGGTGTAATGATGAATGTGTACCCATGCTTTTATGTGCCTGCACTCTTTCATGTACATGAGATAGTGTTTAACATATCTTTAATTGTATACTTACAAAAATATGGCACAGACACCAGATGCAAGGAATGAAGTGCAGACAAGTAGGTGTGCCAATTGGCCCATGAAGAATGAAGGTGCAGTTGGTCTGAACAAAGGAACTGGAGGCAGTGTGTCAGGGGAATATATAAAAACACAGTGCACAACTAGTGTTCTTAGTAATGTCCTTAGTAAGGAAGCTGTTGGGTGTTCAATCAGGTGTGTGCAGCCTGTACCCCACAGGAGACACACCCCAGAAAAGCTACGATCATGACCCAGTACACACACACTTATGAAAGCCTCAGGAGATCTGTTTTTGCAATGATTTTTCTGACTCATCTGTACAACTCTCAGACGTGAGGTTTGTGCTGACACTACAGTGTTATGATATGGAAGTTCGGACAACCTGAACTATTGGAGAGCCAATAGGTCACACTCTTTGGAGTGTGACAACCAGGGATCGAGGACAGGAGAGGCCTGTGTTAGCCTGGAGGAAAATCAGGGATGAGTAAATAGCACAAATAATAGAATAAATGGCAAGGGCTAGAATCACACACTTGAGTTTGGAGTGTTAGTGTGACCTGATCCTAATGAGATAAATATCAGAGAATTAGTGTGCGTGTGGTATGTGAGGGCTGTGGTGTGTGTGTGTGTGTGTGTGTGTGTGTGTGTGTGTGTGTGATGTGTGTATGTGTGTGTGTGTCTGTGGTGTGGTGTATGTGTGTGTGTGTGGTATGTGTGTGTGAATGTGGTGTGTATGTGGGGTGTGTGTGATGTGTGTATGTGTGTGTGTGATGTATGTATGTGTGTGTGTGTCTGTGGTGTGTGTGAATGTGGTGTGTGGTATGTGTGGGGGTGTGTAGTGCGTATGTGTGGTATGTGGGGGGTGTGGGGGGGTGTATGTGTGTCTGTGTGTGTGTGTGAATGTGGTATGTATGTGTGGCATGTGGGGGGATGTGGTGTGTGTGTGTGTGTGTGTGTGTGTGTGTCATATGCACATGATGGGTGCTTAAGGAAGCAGGTGTGAATGCCACAGTATGTGTATGAAGGTGAGAGAACAACTGTGTGACATGGGTTCTCTCTGTCCACTTGACGTGGGTTCCAGGGATTGAACACAGAGAGCCTGGCTTGCACACCAGGAGTGTTTACCCCCAGAGCCATGTTACTGGCTCAGAAATGTTTTTATATTATTTTCTCTCTCAGGTACAAGACGGGCTTAACCAGAAGCCAGAAAAGGGAGAAAATGGAATCAGGTGTGGAGACTTCTTCTGACACTGGCTCCTTCAGTTTCTAGTGAAGAGTAACACATTCCCTCATCAGGTCCAGTCGTAACAGGGTGTGAAAGTGTCGAGTTTGCACCTAGAGCAAGGATGGATCAATCAGCATAAGCCTTCATCTAAGTAGAGAGAGAAGGAAGTGCGCATTCTCTTATCAACTGATGTAGAAAATAACCAATACAATTCCACCTTTACCCATGACAAACAAACACACGTCAGCCTTCACCTGCTCGCCGAGTGTCTGCTGTCCTCTCTGGGAACTGGGAATCCTCCTGCATTCTGTGATCTGCCACAAGCACGTGCCCTCTAGTGTCCCCAACACAGTCCTTGGAGCCACCTCTGCCATGCCCAGGGACTACCTTTCTTTCCTGGACTCACAGTGCCTGTTCTGCTGTGGCCTCCACCCACACACCTCACCTAACCCTAAGCAAGAGCAGCCAGGCAGTGAGCAGTAAGTCCTGGAATGCCCTTTTCTCCTCTCACACCCAGTTGTGAAGCTCTGGAGACTGCTCCTCAGGCCTCTGACTTGCACTCACTCATAATGGTCACTTTCTCACCAAGCCTCTGGTGTTGTCTCCACAGCCCCACAGCCTTTCTCCAGGGTAGCTAAAACTAGTGGAATGCATGTTGCCCGCATAAGCTGTTCCATTTTTGGTTCCTTCTCTGTTTCTGAGTCGTGCGGCCACAGCCTGCTGGTGGTGCACTTGCATAAATGTTCGTGTTCTCTGGTCTTCAGGTTGGAGGTCAAGGTGCAGCGAGGACTGGTTCCTCCCGAGGTCTCCTCCTTGGGTGACTGTTAGTAGCCATCTTCTCTCACTCTGCAAGTCTGTGTCATAATCTCCTCACATAAGGGCACCAATCAGTCACCAATCAGTCAACCGCTGCCTTACACACCTTTTCTCCAAACAGTCTCATTGTGAGGTGTTGTCCTGAGTTTCAAGGGCATGTCTCTCAGTCCATAGTCCTTCCTGTAGATATTTATAATTGCTCATGATGCCCTGCACAAGACACACATACTCACACACCACATATAACAACACACACACGCACACACACGCACACACATATACATGAACACAGCTGTCCTGTGCTTTGTATTTGATTCTGAACTGGAAGGATCTCTGCAGTGCCATGTCCCAGAACAGCATCTCCATTGTTGTGATTTCTTTAGAAATATTCTGTAACACTGGACACCCTGGACAATGTAGATTTAGGCTCCTGATTTCCATATTTACTGATATGTATGTATGCATAAATACTGTTGGGTAAATTATTTTAAGAGTGTTCTCACAGATGTGAGGCTGCTAACTTTCTTCCTCTAGATCCTAGGGATTTTCTATACGCATCTTAAATAACTACAGAGAAAAACAGCCTAACACCAGGGTTAGACCCGTGGCCTAGGGTGAATTATTCCATGTTTGGTCTTCTGTTCCAGATTTGTCAGCACCCTTAATGAGATGGTCACCATCAAAATGAGTGGGAAAGTGTACGAAAACGTCACCAGTTACAATGCCAGCGGTTATCAATTTTTCCCTTCTGGCGTGTAAGTACCTGTTCTGGGCAGCTCGCTCCCAAGTTCAAGGCTGTCTAGTCTTTTTCTTAGGAAAAGAAGGAAATGTTAATACCAAGAACCATAACCTCTGTCATTCTTTCTTCCAATAGAAAAGACTTCACAATAAACTCCACAGAGGTTGCACCTGGGTGTCCACATGATTTTAAATCTTCCAACCTCGACTTCGGCAGTGCATATACCTATGTGATCCAAAAGGGGGTTAGTAGCTCATTTCAGCACATCCTGTTTGAGCCTCGGCTAGCGTGAACCTCACAGACAAGCAGGACAAGGTCATGATTAACCAGCACCTGTAAACAGATTTACAACTAATTCAGCTCAGTACTAACTCTTCTTTTTATTCTGTGTGTAGTGTCTGAATGGTGTGGTGTGGTGTGTGTGTGTGTGCATGCGTCGGGTTTGGTGACAAGCACCACCTTTCCCCACTGAGCCATCTCACTGGCCTGCCACTGATTCTCTCACTTATTGTTGACTTGAATTGACTGGAAAACAAACCCCAGCAGACTTAACTACACTGGTTTGAAGTTCCGGCTGACCAGTATGTGATGCCTCCCTGTGATCTGTGTGGCTCCACACCTAGTGCTCACCGGGGGCAGGGTTTGAACAGCAGCTTCCAGCACTGCCATTGTTTAAAATGGGCGCTGATGTGGTAAAATGGGCGTTGACGTGGTAAAATGGGCTCTGGCGTGGTAAAATGGGCGTTGACGCGGTAAAATGGGCACTGATTCGGTAAAATGGGCTCTGGTGTGGTAAAATGGGCACTGGTGTGGTAAAATGGGCGCTGATGCGGTAAAATGGGTGCTGACTTGGTAAGCTGCCTGGCTTAACCTCAGAAGGTGGACACTGCATCTGTGTGAACAGTCATTCTACAGCAGAGCTCTGCCTTTTTCTCAACCTCCCCTTGTTGCTCTGCTTGTCTAGAGTGACGGCTGCCTGGAGGTGAAGGAATTTGAAGACATTCCACCCAACACAGTAAACATGGCTCTGCAGATCCCCCAGTACTTCCTGATCACCTGTGGCGAGGTGGTCTTCTCTGTCACGGGGCTGGAGTTCTCCTATTCCCAGGTTCTTGTTTCTTGTCACTCCGTTTCTCCCGCTCCCTGCTGTCTTCAGAAATGTGCTGACAGGCATGGTTTGAATGTGAGATATCTGTACGCTGTTGCTGGTTTGTAAGACAAGGTCTCAGCATGCCGCCCAGGCTAGCCTCCAATTCACCAACCTCCTGCCTCAGGCTTTCAAGTACTGGAAGAGTAGCCAGTTGCTGTCTCTGTCATTCCAGTGACCATGTCAAATCAGATCTGTTGCTAAGAACAAGTATAACACCCTATTTTTAAGGCTAGAGATACAGATCAGGTGATAGAGTGCTTGTTCAGTGTTCAGAAAGCCGCAGGGTTAACCCCAAGCACTGTAGGAAACCAGGTATGTCCATGCACTCCTATAACCCCTGCACTGGGGAGATTGAGGCAGGAAAATCAGCCCAAGATCATCCTTGGCTACAGAGTGAGTCTGAGGTCAGCCATTCTACCTCAAAAAAAATGGTATTTTGTGGTTTGGGGGGGTTGTTTGTCTGTTTTATTTTGTTTCTAAGTATATTAGGCTAATTAGATGGGTTCTATTGGCACCCTGATTAGAGCTTAATGTCTAAAGTATTTGTCAAACAAAACAAAACAAAACAAAAACAGCTACAGCCATTGGGCCCTGGCATTTTCCCTTCAGCGTCAGTGGTGGTCCACAGGGGCTAAGTGACCCCTTCTGTGGTGACCACTGTCTGACAAGGGCTGTGATGTAGCTGCAGAGAGCTTGAGGAAGGAATGGGGCACAGCAGGGGAGCTTCAGGGAGGAACTCTACAGCCTAGAGAGGAGTCTTCCTCAGGGGAGAAATTTGTGCTGCAAAGTTCATTCACCCGTACTTCTGAGTGTGTTACTAACACCGTGAGTGTGGAGAGAGGCTGTAGATTTGAGTGTGTCACTAAGACGACACTCTGAGTGTGAGGAGAGAGGCTGCTTTGGGAGGTTTCCTGTCTCATCACACAACCCTCCTTATATGGACATGAGTCCGACCTTGCTGTTTATTCCCTTATCTGCATATTCATATTGAGAGCAGGGTCATGTGTAACCCAGTGTGTCCTCACACTTGTTATCCTCATGCCTCTCCCTCCCACATGCTGAGCTGTGTTTGTGAGACTCCAGCCCTGACGGAACCTGAGCTGAGCTCTATCTGCTCTTCGGGGATGGTTGTGAAGGGGGGTCCTCCCGGCCGGTTGTGACCCCGTCTGCTCTGCCCTCAGGCTCCGTCCAGCATGAAGTCCGTGCTGCAGGCTGGCTGGCTGCTCACTGTGGCGGTTGGCAACATCATCGTGCTCATTGTGGCCGGGGTTGGGCACTTCGGTCAGCAGGTACGGGGGCGGGGAGGCTTTTCTTCCAGGTCTCTTCAGACAAGGTCTTATGCAGCCTGGGTGTGCCTCACAATTGCTGCATAGACCATGATGGCTTTGAACTTGTAATCTTCCTGGTTTTCACACTCATCACATGCTCCTCCCCAGCTCTCTGTGAACACGTGTCCATGTGAGGCAGCGGGGGGGGTAATGCTCCCAGTCAGCTGGAGCTCTCACTGTAATGACTTAGAGCTCATGTGCCCCACGGGGTCGACTGTCACAGAGAACACATGTCATCAGTTCTGAGAATTCAACTCAGGAGTCTGGGGCTCAGCATGTGGGCCGGGGGTGAATCCACGCACTGGACTTGCCTTCTGTGCACGAGGCTCTGGGTCCCATCCAATCGCTGGGAGGCGACAGAAGCCAGATTCCTTAGCAGAAACTCCCTTGTAACTTAATTCTTGAAGTGATCGCAGCTTTCCATTTAAAACAAAACAGAACCCGGCGTGTGTGACACTCACAGTCTGTGCTTCGCCTTGTTGCACACAAGTCTACCTGGCAATTTCCACAGCGGTCATGCTGTGTCCTGCCTCAGAAACAGCCACAGGGCTTCATGCTCTTGGGCTAAGAGAAGAAATGCACGCATAACTGCATGTGTGCGTACACAGACACACCTAAGGGCTATGTGGAGGGGATGAGTGTGTATGTCACCATGTGCCGGCAGGAGCCCATGGAGTCCAGAACGCTGGGTCCCTGGAGCTGGGTGTGTGGGGTCTGGTGGTGTGCTGGGGCCCCAGCCAAGGGTCATCTCTGCAAAGCCACTCTTCCTGCCTGCACTCAGTACACTTTGTCCTGCACACTGCTGGCACACTTTGTTGACACTTAGTCAGCACACTTTGTCCTGGGGGGCAACCCCTGGGTCCTTGCTGCTGCTTATCTGGCATCAGCCATGACCTTAAGAGTGTCAGAAAGTCCCTCTCATGTTCCCCACAGTCGTGTGTTTCCACACCCACGTTAGCGGGTCGCTGCAGGGTGGATTCTTGGCAGCCTCACTGCAGGTGCCTTGGGGAGGGCAGGTGGGCAACGTTGTTACGTCAGTGTGACCTGTGGTCGGTTTGTTTGTCTTTGCTCCCAAGTGGGCGGAGTACGTGCTGTTCGCCTCATTGCTTCTGGTCGTGTGTATCATTTTTGCCATCATGGCTCGGTTCTACACCTACGTCAACCCAGCTGAGATCGAGGCTCAGTTCGATGCAGAAGAGAAGAAACAGGGTGCTGGGAAGGACACCCCACACTCCGCATCGGAACCTGTGTCACAGACAAACCTGTGATGGACAGAAGGCAAGAGAGGAACCCACAAGCACCCTGCCCGTGCGCCGGGGACAGTGCACATCAGTGACCACCGCAGAGCCGTGAGGCACAGCAGCCGCTTTCTGAGCTGCCCACCGCCAATCAGGAGCCTTTCCAAATTTTCAGCTTTTTGGTTTTCAAGACGGGGTTTCTCTGTGTAGACTCACCAGGCTACGCTCAAACTCACAGAGATCCTCCTGCCTCTCCCTGCTGAGTGCTGGGATTACAGGCGTGCACCACCACATCAAGCTGAAATATTATTTAAAACATGCACTTTTTTAAAAAAACACTGGGCCATGTTTTACAGTTCTGCCACAGAAGGAAACTCAGTTCACACTAACTTAATTTTTTCTAACATTTTTATGAAAGCAATGTTGAATTTACAGAGGGCTTTTTAAGAATAGTATGTAGTGAACATCGGCTGATTTGGGCTAATAACTTTACCTTGGGCTTTGTTGTTTGTTTTTCTAGCTTTGCTTCCCTGCCTCTTTTTAGATTATGTATAACTCAAAACACTATTGAAGCGAAGCTTACTCATGAGTTGGGCTACACTGGTATCAAGTAAAGTCTTGTTTTGTTTTGTTTTCGGTTTGGGTTTGATTTTGATATTTTTTTCAAGGCAAGGTTTCTCTGTGTAGCCCTGGCTGTCCTGGACTCACTCTGTAGACCAGGCTAGCCCTGAATTCAGAGAGATCGGCCTGCCTATGCCTCCCTGAGTGCTGGGATTAAAGGTGTGCCCTACCACAGCCCAGCTTAAATTTTTGTTCCTAAAAATATCTGCTTGTGAGTCTCTGGGTATGGTAGGAAACCTTTCCTGCCCGATCTGGTTATACTGTTGATATGTGCTCATTAAAATGTCTTCAGAAACCGACAAAGCATTAACAAAAGCAAAACCCACACAGGGTAAACCCTGGGCACAAGAGACACCCACATTTATCGCTTCTTGGTCCTGTGTTTTTCTCAGGGAAATAAAGAAAAAATCTTTGACAACTAACATTTGTTTTGCACATATGTGCACATATCTGCGTCTTTCTTGAGCTGATGACTGTTCTCTGCTTGAAGTAGCTCCTTCTAAAATATTATTAACACTCATTACGTAAATCATCCTACAGACGTTTGGTGCTTTTTTTTTCCTTGTTCATTTTCATTTTGTTTTGTTTCAAAACAGGATCTCACAGCAGCTCTGGCTGCTTTAGAACTCACTGTGTAGACCAGGCTGTCCTCAAACTCACAGAGATCCGCCCGCCTCTGCCTCCTGAGTGCCAGGATTACAGGCGTGTGCCATTATGCTCATGTGACTTGTTTGTCTTGTACTTTCACCTTTTTCTTTTTTAATTCATCTCTCATACATCAAATCCTGCCCATAGTTTCCACTCCTCCCAAGCCTCCTCTACTTCCCTATCCCTCCTCTGTTTTCCAAAAGAAAAAAGAAAGGACTATCCACCGAGCATGGCCTAACAAGATGCAGTAAGTCTAGGTACAGACCCTCATACCTACTCTGGATGAGGCAACCAGGGTTGAGACCTGCTGCTCTAACGCAACTGTGGCCATTTTGTATTTGGTCTCCAATTTGATCATAAGGTGAAATTAAGATCAAATTCTCAGACTCCACCTTCCAGAAGTAATTATTTGTACTGACAGTGGAAAAGGTCACATTTGTCACTATGACTCTAAGGTTTCAGGACTTATGCTCATTTAGGACCAATCATTTTCAAGGTCAGCTGATAAACTTTGTCTAGTTAGCCAAAATGAACTTAAAATGTAATGCTGCCCTCCGCCTGCCTTCTGCACTTGGTTTTTCTATTAAAAAGACTACCCTAAAAGCAGGTCAGGATGCAGTTCAGCTCCCAACTCTGGGCTATGGCCTGATTACAGTCAGTCTTGGGGAGGGGGGTGTTCAATAAACCATCCATATCTGACAGAGGTCAGTGTCTGAATGGTTTATGTGGCTTTCTCTGAACCCCAACGCCAGTAGGAGGAAAAGAGACCCAAGAGCCAGCAAAAGAGTCACAGACTCCCAGTCCCACTGTTAGGAGTCCCACAAGAACACCCAGCTACACAACCATAGCAAATATGCAGCGGCCCTGGCACAGACCCACGCAGGCTCTGTGATTGTCACTCCAGTCTCCGTGAGCCCAGGGCCCACCTTTGTTGATTCTGTGGGCCGTGTTCATGTCCTGACCCCTCTGGCTCCTCAGTCATTCCTCCCCCTCTTCTGCAGGGTTCACCTGGCTCTGCGTAGTCACTTTTTTCTTGATGTGTGTCTTTTTCACTGGTGTGTATGTGTGTCTGCCTGCCGTGTATGGATGAATACCCTCAGAGGCCAAGTGAGGGTGTCAGATGCTCTGGAGTGGGAGTCACAGGCAGTCATAACCCAGTGATGTGGGTGCTAGGAACTGACCTCACATCCTCTGGAGGAGCAGACAGCTCTCCTGCCAGCTGAGCCACCGCTCCAGCCCAGTTTATTTTGGGAGAGGGTCTCATGCCTCCCGCGCTGGCCTTAAGCTTACTGTGTAGTTGAAGGTCCTGGACATCTGACCTTCCTGCCTCCACTGTCTGGGATTACCACTCTGCGCCATGATGCCCAGATTTATTTGGTTCTGGGTTTTGAACCCAGGGCTTTGTGTGTGGCAAACAAGTGCTCCATCGATTGATTTTTATCCCTAGTCTGCTACATAGAGTGGAGCTGTAATCTAATACTCTCAGACGCCAGGCCCAGGATGGTCCTGTTTCGTATTCCTGTACAACCAGAGATCCTGGACTCCTCAAGGCTCTAAGCTCCTGGGTGAGGAGGAACAGTCTGTGTGTGACCTTGACGAGGCTTCACCCACTAGCTCTTCATTGCATATAAAAGCTTCGTGGACCTAAAGTCTGAGTGAGAAACAATGAGAGTCTCACTGCACTCAACAGTGCTCCAGCCTTAGGCAGGGCCCACAGGGCTCTTCTCTCTGCCGCCTTTCATTTCTCTCCACACACTCTGGCCCAGTTAACACTGGACTGCACTCCTGTTCCGGCACACCACATCCTCATCCCAGGTCAAAGTGGAGACGCTCTTCAGCCCCCACTCCAGCCCGTCTCTTCATGCCACTCCCAGCAGAGTTTGCTGCTGTCCCACACTAGGCAGTTGCCTCTCTGAGCCCCCACAAGGCCAGCACGTACCCAGACTCGGTTTCCCGGACTTCCCCAGTCAGCACTGTGTGCGTCAGGCTGATCTCCTGAGCAAAGGCTTTTGGCCTCTCGGGCCCGGGAGCAAGTCAGTAGCAAAGAGTAAGCCAATAGATGGACTTTGAGTGGGCCAACAGCAGCTGTACTGTCAAAGCCTAGACTTAGGGGCCGCAAATTCTACCACTCCGCCACCACCTGGCATTTCTTCCCGTCTGCTGCCCCGTCCACCTTACCCAGAATCGCACGCTGATAGGTTGGAACCAAAGCACTGCACTTTTCAAGTGCTCTTCTACATGGGGTGGGGAGGGAACCCTAGCGCAAACATCATACCTTGTACCTAAAATCCGGCCATTTTCCATTGTTTTTACAGCTTCCTGTGAATCTGTTTTGATTGCTTTGGTCTTGAGCTGATTCCAACAGGCCTATATGTGTGTTTTGTTTCACTTTGCAGATGAAATTTGTCTCGGGTAGTAAGTGTTTATTTTAAGTCAGTTTTGGAATGATATATATATATATATATATATATATATATATATATATATATTCCTACATTTAATGACAACTAACTATGGCTGAACATATGCCGATGCTGGGCGTGTGACGACATGGGCTCAGCAACAGCCCTGCAGTGTGCATGACTATTCTTCTGCTCACAGAAGACAAGGAGAAGCGAGTAGAACCCAAGGCCACCCCGCAGCCAGGCTGTAGAGCAGAGGCCGCCAGCCTGTGCCACCTGCCACCGCCATGTTTCCTTATGGAGCACATCCATCTTCATCCTGTCGTAACCGTGAGAAAAGCGTGTGGCCTTCACATCTAAGGAGCCTGGGGAAGAAGGCTAGGGAGAGGCTTAGCCATGTAGATCATTTGCTGCTCCTGTGAGCTGGGTTTGAGTCCCAGCACTTATACAGCCGCTCACAACCATCCATAACTCCAATTCCAAGGGATCTGGTGCCCTCTTCTGGCCTCTGAAAGCTGGTACACATATACACATGCAGGCAAACTACATTTAGATAAATAAATCTAAAAAAACCTCGTTTGAGTCTTTCCCCAGGAGGCTAAGACCTCTACTGCCCACCATAACCTGCCCCATACCGTGAGATTATACTGTCGCCTGTCACAGAACACAGCAAACTGATGGCTGAGGCCACAGAAGGGGAACTGGGGCCAGAGAGTGGGGTGCCAAGGGCCCTGGAGACCAATGTTCCCCAACCTCCCCGGATGGACACCCATGGCCACATGTGGGGGTTTGAGACTAGAACCTCGACTCGAAGGACCAAGGAACCAGAACTACCTCTACCATTTCAGAGGGAGGCCTGGGCTCCTGGGACGCTCCCCAGAGGGAGGCTGAGCCGCCTGAAGACACTTTAACCCCCTCCCCACAGCCTGAAGGAGACACCGCCATTGTCTGGAGAGGTCGTGGATATAAGCTCCGACTTCGCCATGGAGAAGGCTGGGGGTAGGAGGTGGCAGAAACCACCGAGGCCCACACAGGACAACAGTCAGTGTTGAAGGACTGAGGGGCACAGCCAGATCCTGGGCCTAATAGCACACGCACCTCATTTACAGCCTCCTGGCAACCCGCGGGGACTGGCAGTGTCAGAACCTGCTGAGCTTTCTTTTGATTCGATGGTGTCCGGCTTGGGCTAAAGAGTCACATGGCTCCGTCGCTGTGCTTGAAGGCGTGTGCGTGCTCGCGCGCGCACACACACACACACACTCAGCCTCCCCAGGCAGGCCCTGGGGGCACTACAGCTTTGCAGCATTCTAACCAAAGTGCACCCGTTTGAGAACTTGTCCGTGGATTTGAAGCACTGGGGAGGCTGTGGAAGTGCTGTAGACTCTGGGACACACACACGCACACACGCACATGCGCACAGACACACGCACTTGCACGCATGTACACATGCTCCAGGCTGGCCCATCTCTCCTTAGCTCTGTGCACTTGCGCAGAGTGCAGAGACACTGCCGTCTTGTGTGAATCAGAGCTCGGGGCTCTGGGGTGTGCTGTGTGTGCCGGGTGTGCCCGGGGCCCCCTGAGCTGCTGTGAGCTGGTTGGTTCTGGGTTCTGTTTGTTCAGCCATTGCTGTGGCTCAGCCACCCTGAGCCACCCCGCCTAGACACTTGGGGGTGCAACAAAGAAGGAAGAGGTCAAACCACGGAGGCACAATCGTCCGGCAACAGGAGCCACGGGCTCGCTCAGGCGAGGCCTGGAGGTGTAGCCCGGCTGCTGAGTGTGCGTGCAAAGACGGCACAGTCCTGCAGCCCCGAAGAAGGGACTCCTCAACTCATGTGTCCGGAAGGGGGGACACCGCGTGACCTGCATGCAAGGGACCCCGAGGACACGCAGAGCTGTGCCCGGGCGCTGGAGGGGACGGGAGGCCTCACAGGGGGAAACAGTGTTAGGTGCCCTCTCAGGGTTGGAGGCTGCTGTGCCCACCAGGCCGCTGCCACCTTCGGAGCTCGGCGGGCCGTCCGGGACCAGGCCGAGCTTGATGGCTGCTCACTCGGCTCCTGGAGGAGGGCGCACGGCTGTGAGGGTGCCCTGGCCTGAGGATCCAGCCACGTCCACACAGCTATGGGCAGAGAGGTGCGGAAGGCTTAGGGGACCCCGTGACAGAGCCGGGGGTCACTGGCTCACCTGCTGAGGCTCTTCTAAGGTAGCCTCTTCTCCATGGCTCTGGAGGGAAACCTAAGCATCTCTTTGGTTCCTCGAGTGAGCCTTGGTGAGATCAGGTCTTGGTTTGTCCTGGAGAGGCAGCAGGAAGTGGTGGAGTCTTGACTTCTCGGGGAAAGGCCAAGGGAAGCTGCCCCGTCGCAGCTGGTGGCAGA